GGATTAGGGGGTGTGTCCTTGATAGAGGAACTGTATCTCTGTGGGTGGGTTTTGAGGTCTTAAAGTCAAGGCCAGGCCCAGTTTCTCTTTCTCTGCTGAAGGATCAGAATATAAAGCTCTCAGCTACAGTGCCATGCCTGTATAATAATAGACTAATAATAGATATTATAGATATATTATCATGCCAAGCCATGATAACAATAGACTAATCCTCTGAGACTGTGAGCAAGCCCTCAGTTCAATGCCTTCTTCTATAAGTGTTGCCTTGGTCATGGTGTCTCTCCACAGCAACAGAACACTAACTAAGACATTGACGTATTCATTTAAAAAGGTTATGAATATTTGATGTGAATTTTAAAAATTTACTTCTTAAAATATATTAGTTTTTCTTTCTTTTTTATTTTTATTTGTTTGTTTGTTTTTCCAGACAGGGTTTTTCTGTGTAATAGCACTAGCTGTCCTGGGACTTGCTCTGTAGACCATGCTGACCTCAAACTCACAGAGATCCGTCTGTCTCTGCCTGCCAAAGTGCTAGGATTAAAGGTGTGCACACCACTGCCTGGCAACTCTGTAGTTTTTAAACGTTGAACACAGTGCATGGATGATATGTTCTTCCTTTTGTCAACTGCCACAATTCTTTTCTTGTTTCTTTTCCCCACATAACTTTTAGACTTATTTTAAACAGAGAGTGTAATGAGAATACATCTCCAATCATACCCACTGATAAGTGCAGGAAATACTTAATTCTATCAATGACGTTCCAGGCACCATATGAAAACTTCTCATTGTCAGATCTTACAACACATCAGGAGGTGGCCGTGCCTACCACAGCCCCTCCAGTGCTGGGTCATACAGCACTCAGGAGATGGACTAAGTCACACTGGCCAGCTTGTGAAGGGAGTAACAGTGAGAAGTTATTAGTGACTCAAGTCAGGTTGCTGACGCTTGTTTAGCGTCTTAGAGCAATGGCCAGCTCACCACAATCTGCTATTTAGTCAGTGGGAACTGTTCAGTGGTCTCTCACGCTGCTCTTCATTTCTCCTTCTACTGGGAATGAAATGTGGGGCTTTGCACATGTCCGGAGGTGCTTGCCAATGAGCCACATCTCCTGTGACCTAGTGCGGCAGCTCTTAGCATCCGACACAAGGCAGAAGCGCTTGGATAACTTGTCTCTCAATGGATTGCTGCGAATTCTAATAGCTAGTGAAGTTTTTTCTAGTTTTTGCATTTAACCTCAGAAACAAGGACATTTTTTATCATCCGTATTTGCCATCCATCAAATACCACTATATTTTAAACCATTGATGGAATTATTTTTTAAAAGTAAAACATAAAAAGTAATAAATTTATTTTAAATAGCAGTACAAAACAGTGCTCCAGTTATCAGGGCCATGGCACTATACAAAAGACTGCCATTATAATTTATAACTACTAATGAGCTTTGGTGTCTTAACGATAATAATTTTATTTGAAAATTATGAATCATAACTGAGTACCCATAAGAACTCAGTTCTTTACGAGAGTGAGCTCCACTCGGTGCTGACAGCAGTGATCATCAGTGGTGAGACTTAAACATAGCAGAAAGCTTTTCTAAGTTGCACATAAGCCAAAGGAGTGGTACACTGTTCACCAACCACACAGCACTATGTTAAATGTGCAGGAGTGCCACAGGATGTCCTGACTTTGATTCCTTATAGTAATTGTCACGGTGGATGTTAGAAGTTGAAGGTAACATCACCTAGAAGTATACAAAAACCAGACCTTCCTTCTTCTCCTCCTCCTCCTTCCCCTTCTTCCTCCTCTTCTTCTCTTCCCTCTCCTTTAGAGACAGATTTTGTGGTGTGTGTGTGTGTGTGTGTGTGTGTGTGTGTGTGTGTGTGTGTGTGTGTGTGTGTAGTCCTGGCTGTCCCGGAACTTGCTCTGTAGATCAGACTGGTCTCAAACACAGAGATCCTCTTGCCTCTGCTTCCAGAGTCCTGGGATTAAAGGCATGTGTCACCACTGCTTGACTTCAATCAGGTATTTTTTTTAATGCCATCTGAAAAATTTTCCATTAGTGATTCTTTTTGCCTAAGATTTTTTTGTCTGGTTTTATTTATATTTTATGTGATGGGTGTTTGCCTGGATATTTGTATGTGCATCACGTGCATGCAGTGTCCCCAGAGGCCAGAGAGGGCGATGAAGCCCAGGAACTGGAGTTGCAGGTGATTTTGAGCTGCCTATGCATCCCTGAATGCCTGAGGGAGCATTGGATCTCCTGGGGTTGGAGTTACAAACTGTTTTGAGCTGCCATGACAGTTCTGGGAACTGAACCCAGGTCCTACCCAAGAGCAGCCAGTGCTCTAACTCCCGAGCCATCTTTCTACCTCCAAGTTTTCTTAAACTTTTATTATTTTTAATTGTGTGTGTGTCTGTTGTGGGGTTTGTGCAGGTCCATGGAGCCAGAGGAGCTGGAATCATAGGTGGTTAAAATTCACCTGGTCTGGGTGCCAAGCACCAAATTGTGGTTCTCTGGAAGAACATGCATGATCTTTTTGAAAAATTATTTTTGTTGTCAGCTCCCCTTCCTTCTTCCCCTCTCCCCTTTTACTTTCTCCCATGACCCCCATGCTCCCAATTTACTCAGGAAATCTTGTTTTTTTCTCCTTCTTATGTAGATCCCTGTATGTCTCTCTTAGGGTCCTCTTTGTTGTCTAGGTTCTCTGGGATTATGAATTGTAACCTGGTTTTTCTCTGCTTATTGTCTAAGAGCCACTTATTAGTGAGTACATATTATATTTGTCTTTCTGGGTCTGGGTTACCTCACTCAATATGGTTTTTTTCTAGATCCATCCATTTGTCTGCAAATTTCGAGATGTCATTATTATTTAGCACTCCATTATTACACTCCATTGTGTAAATGTACCACATTTTCTTCATCCATTCTTCAGCTGAGGGGCATCTAGGTTGTTTCCAGGTTCTGACTATTGCAAATAATGCTGCCATGAACATAATTGAGCACATGTCCTTGTGGTAAGTTTGAGCATCCTTTGGGTACATACCCAAAAGTGGTGTTGCCAGGTCTTGAGCATGCATGATCTTAACCATGGACCTAGCTCTCTGGCCCCTTGCCCGAGAAAATTTTCATGAGACACCATGTTTATAAGCACATAAAATAAACACATAGATGAAACATTTACTGACAATGTGCCATGAGTAAATTAGCCCAGTTGTTTAGTATATATCTAATTTTATTTACTTCTTATTATTGTGTGTGAGCATAGCAAGTGTGTGACCCGTCACAGGGCATTTGTAGAGGTCAGAACACAAGTTTGTGGAGTCAGTTTTTTACTTCCACTTTTATGTTGGCTCTGAACATGGAACTCAAGTCACTGGACTTGCATGGCTAGTGAGTTTACCCACTGCAGCATCTCACTGGCCCAATTCTATCATTTATTAAAAATAAATACAATATGGTATACTAATGATATGGGAGTTCTTGCGAACACTATTTTGGAGAGTTGGAGATGGCTTTGTGGTTAAGAGTGTTTTCTGCTCTTGGGGAAGACCCATGTTCACTTTTCAGCATCCGTGTTGGATGGCTCACAGCATGTTAACTGCAGCTTCAAGGGATCTGATGCCCTCGTTTAGCCTCTGTGGGTGCCTGCGCACACACATGTAAGAGAAGGTAACCAAATTCAGTGGTTTTCAGAACTGACTAGTTTTTTGATTTTATAATTGTCATGCTGAGAGTATCTCTTTTTACAATACATGGTACCAAATGGCAAGAGCATGTTTAGAGCTGTTATAGAAACTGTTGTGAAGTTTGTTCTCATTATTTTTTTTTTTTGAGACAGGGTTTCTCTGTAGCTTTGGAGACTGTCCTGGAACTAGCTTTTGTACATCAAGCTGGCCGTGAACTCAGAGCTCCGCCTGCCCCTGTCTCCCTAGTGCTGGAATTAAAGGCATTTGCCACCACTGCCCGGCACATTTATGATGTTTTAAAAATGAAACTCATTTCAATAACTCTAAGAGCAGTTCTTAAAAATTGAACATTCTAACCCAAGTCAAAGCAAATGTTCTTGCTTAGCAATGATGGCAGGGGCAAGTCTTTGCTTTCTGTAATTAAACCATTATGTTTGATATGTACAACAAACACTACAATTCATAATATACTACTGTACATATTATGTGTGTGTGTGTGTGCGTATTGAATCTGGGCTGAGGTGTTACAGGCAGTGTGGACTGGCCCTGTGTGATGAGAGCAAACACACCGTAAAGTCATCCTGTGCGTTCACAGCCAAGGCTACTGCAAGGCCGCTTGGTACACAGGGGCAAATAGCACAGAGACACCTTCTGCTCACTACACATTTGATTTTGAATTTATTTTTAGTCATCAGATGTTCAGAAACCTCTTACTTTTCCTTTTGTTGTTGCTGTTGCAACTGCAAGTCTGCATCCATCAGTTTAGGAAGCTCTTCCTGGATGTCATTTGTGAGCATTATGGGTCTTTCAGAACTGGATAGAGTTATTTCTTTTGTTGCCCTCGCTTGAAAAATAGGAAACACCTTAGGCATTCAAAAAAGTATGGTGAAAAATCTAACAACCTTGCACATCATTGAGTGGCTCAAGCATTTGAAATATAACTCAACAGTATTTTTCTTTTCTTAATAATAATGGCATATCACCAGTCTAAAACATAGGATTTGCATATTCTAGGTCTCTTGTTCTCAGCAAGTTTGTTCCATCAATATACTAATTTTATTTTATTTCTATTATCTTAAGGAAGCCAACTGTGTATCACTGGCACAATGTGCTAGGTACATGTGGATGTACCAATGAGATGGATACCAATTAGCAAACGTGGGAAGCAATTCTAAATGCTGGCGGCAAGATTGTTAACGTCTTACTCAATTTACCCGTGGTTAACAGTCGTCTGTGGCATTGACTCTCACACTCTGTTTCTGAGAAAGGTGACTTTCTAAACCTCACTAAAGAGCGAAAAGAAAGCAGCATGTTACCTGTCGACACTGAGGGCGCAGAGATTCAAGACGGTGATGCCGACGGAGGACTTCTGCAGGAAGGGGAACAGCTTGCAGAGAAATACTCCAAAATCGTTGTGATCAGAAGGCCAGCGCCCCGCCAACAGCTGAAAAGATGAGACGGGAGTAAGAAAAGGCGAGGCTGGTCCAGCATGCACTCCCGCTTGTGTCCCCAGCGAGGCTGGCCCAGCATGCTCCTTGCTTGTGTCCCCAGTTGCACTTTTACTGTTGTGTGTGAACACGTGGCCAGATAGCAACAGTTTTCTTCTTTTAGCTTTCAAGTCCTCCCTTCCTTTTCGAATATCTTTTGAAAGAAGCTTTTCCTTTGACCCAGCCTCTTCCTCATGTACTATAACCATCTCAGCCAGCTTGTCAAACTTTCCACAGAAACTTTGTCCAAGGACAACCACAGTCTTGTCACTAAAATGCTGTTCTGAACTCAGGTTCTTCGTGAACTTCATGAAAAATTTCATGACTGTGGCTGCCTAGTGTCTGGAACAAGTGAAGGCACAAGGCACTATTTCCGGACTACGATTTCCGGGCTGAAGCACCCTTGAAACGACAAGGATCGTGGTTTAGCGCCAACTTGCCATAAACTAGAATCAGCTCAAAGAATGGGAGATCTTTCAGCTCACTCTGTCTTAGCAATAAAATAGGAACAAAAGGAAGGGGCACCAAGGAAGCAAGCAGTGCAGTGCACAGCTTCCTGGCTTTTCTTTTTTATTACATCTATTTATTTATTTATTTGTGTGTGTGTGTGTGTGTGTGTGTGTGTGTGTGCGCGCGCGCGCGTGTGTGTGACAAACGTATGGAGATCCGAGCTGGTTGTCTCTTTCCATCCTGTGAACCCAGGGAATAACTCAGGTCACCAGGTTTTGTGGTAAACGCCGTTAGCCACTAAACACACTTTTTCTTTCTCTCTCTCTTTTCTTCTTCCCTCCCTCCCTCCTTCTTTCTCCTTCCTTCCTTCCTTCCTTCCTTCCTTCCTTCCTTCCTTCCTTCCTTCCTTTCTTTCTTTCTTTCTTTCTTTCTTTCTTTCTTTCTTTCTTTCTTTCTTTCGAGGCTCTTGGGGGTTCTGATGAATGCCAGAGATATAACCTTCCTCTTATTTACGAACACTTAAAATTAAAAGAAGAATATTTTAAGATGGTGAGAATTAAGCTGTCATTTAGATAATGACAACCAAGCAGCAAGTCTATCAAGGTCCCCAAGTTTCCCACCCTTGCTGATAACTATGTGGTTTCTTACAGAAAGCTTGCAATGCACATACAATCTTTGTCCTTTTCTTAAACAAACAGGAACATATGCAAAAACACTTTTAAGAGTTTAGTGTGTTTTCTGGAGTGATTTAATGGAAAGAACTATTGCCTAAGTAAAAGGGTCTTGGGGTTTAAAATGGCTTTGATGAAACAGTTTTCGCAAGGACCACGCTTGATTAGCAGCTATTTAGTCCGATGTCTCAGCCACGGGAAAGTAACTGCTGATTTCTTTAATGTTCACAAGCGATGATCAGTGCCATGACAGAAACAACAAACTAACTGTCAAGTCGAGCAACTCAAAGGCTCATTTGGAACATGGGAGCCATAGCTTATTTTTATAGCCACAGAAAGGCCTGTGCTATTAAAGTCTCACGTTGTGTCTCTTTGAGAACAGCACGTGGTTCCTAGCATGAGAGTGTGGACCGACTGCACCAGCGCTTCCGGTCCACCCTGCCTCAGAGACTCTGTGGACTGTCGGCACCAGGGCTTCTACCCCTGCATCAGAGACTCTAAAGTCATGAACTCAGATCATGTCCTCATGTTCTGACATGACGGTATGCAGGCGCGGAGAGCATATTCATACCGGGATTTACTTTCTATTTCCAAGATATCAGTGCTTCAAAGTAGCATTTCCACTATTTTTGTTAAGTGAAATGATACACAGAGCATCGGGTGTGGAAGTGTCAACTTAGGTTACAGGGTGACTGACTGCCGTAAGCCCTCCTTTGGTTTACATAGCTTTCTAGGAGGTCCAGGGAAGGTCTGGGAGATGATACGTGTCTCCTCCCCTTTCTGCAGCAGAGTTCGGAGGACTCTGTAGACGACAGGGGACAGTCCTCTCAGCAGGGGACACCGGCCTTTTTCTAACCAGCTGAAGCAGATGCTCATGCTAAGACTGCAAATTAATGTAGAAACTCCAAGTCAGGTGGTTGGTTTGGATTGTGTCAAGCCAACATCAAGAAATGGACAGGGTGTCTTTTCTTAAACCTGCCAGACATAGGTTACTTACAAATGTGTATAATTTGGTACACATATGAGGGCCTGTTTGTAGAATGGCTACATCCCAGGCACCTTTATGTCCACTTCTGTATTTTGTACTTTTGTGCAAAGTAGTGTCTCATTTGGTATGCACAGTGTCAGTTTGTGCTGTTTCTCTGGAACATGCCTGACAACCAGAAGTCAGGGCCAAGTCCGGGACGAGCTAGATGAGGCGACATTCTGCCCTAGTGATCTCTATTCCTTGCAGGTAAACAAAGTCCCCATCATATGTTGGCTTCCTGTTACTTCCCTTCCAGTGCCACAAGCTCAGTTTTTCTTTTTTAACTTGTTGCAGATTCAAGCTAACCACCAGCAGAAGCTCTTCGGAGAAGTACTCTCAAAATTGGTCTGTATGAGGATTAAGGGAATTAGTGAAACCCACCCCAGCACCTGGGCCACAACCCAGACCTGTGCTAATCTGTGTCTCTTGGGAATATGCGACAATACCAGAATCTTCTGGGTGTTGAAGACTGGGAGAGATGTTCCTGACATCTAGGGAGTAGACACTGATATCTTGCAAGGCAGTTGCCAGTATCTCCTCCAAATAACCACCAGATGCAAGATGTCAATGCTGTTGAGGTTGAAACACACCATCCCAGGAACTACACCAGAATCTCTGAAGCGGACAGAAGTAAAGAGAGGATGTGTAGGCAGCTAGGCTAGCTGCTCTGGGGGAGCCGAACAGCATCAGAGGCACCTGGCGGGCCCCTGACCACACAGACTGTTGTACTGTGTCCCAGAACTAGGGAGTCAGCGGCTCTGGGGTTGGGCATGGGCATTCCTTACTGCCCAGAGGCTCAGATGCTGCTTCAGAACCATTATGCTAGGAGCTCCGTGAGCAGTGAGAATGAGAGTTGGTCGCCAGTTAGAACTGGACGAGCAGGAAAAAATATACACTATATTTATGAGGGAGAAAACCACTGTGGTGGTTTGGGGCTGTGCGGCTGACAGCTCATTTTCCTTACCGTCCTAAGGACAGGGCACAGAGATACTTAGTCAAAGCAGCAAGGGGTCCAGTGTCTGGGCCTCACTACTGGATGCTGTTTGTTCTTGCCCTCTGGTCAGGACAGGTGAAGAGGATTCCTGCTGCTGCATGATCTAGTGTGAGCTACTTAACCTATCGGACCTCGATTTCCGTGCCTGTCAAATGGGAGTGGTCTCAAGCCTGCGGTGATGGTGCGATGAGCACTTGAGAGGCTCAGACAGCGCAGTGCTAATGTGAGAATCCTGCCATCGGAACACACACTACCAATGCTGTATTATTTTGGATTGCTTTAATTTGTAAAGCCAAGATAAATGCATGTGCCATTTATGCACAGCTTTAATGAGAAAATGGGTACTCTGAGTAACTGTGCCCCTGCTTTCTGACCCCAGATGTTACTCTCTGCCCCGCGGAATCTCATCACTCAGGCCCTGGTTTGTCATTGTCACCACAGCTTAAAGCCGCACTGAGAAACCAGGAGCAGCTTTTCCTTTGTCCTGATTTTCCCCCCACCCTTCGGTAAAGCCGGGAGATTTTCCCGTTTCCCTTTGTCTCACCACGCCCATCCTAGACAGGAATGAAGGATTTATGGACATAGTCTGCAATATTTAAAACCTCACCATTTAAAAAATGTTCACTTCCTCTGGAACATGCATTGTTGTGGGTCACTTGGAACCAGACAGACTCTAGTCCTTGAAGAGCGGGGACTGACTTGTTTCTCTCCTCCCCTGCCCTTACTCTCCTCTCCTCTTTTTCCCTCTCCTCCCTCCTCCTCCTCTCCCGCCCCTCTCCTCCCCACCTCCTTTTTCATCCCCTACTCTCCTCTCCTCCTTCCCCCTTCCTTCTTCTTCCCTCCTTTCCTCCTCTCCCCTCCTCCTCCCCCTCCTTCCTTTCCCTTGTCTCCTTTTTCTTTGCTTCCCTCTCCCTCCACTCTTAGAGAGTCAGGATATACAGGTTGTTACACGATCAAGCCATCGAAAAGACTATGTCCCCACTAGCACAGACTGAGATGATTTCAAAACCTGTGATCCCAGGACAGTGTTTTTAGCGAGAATATGAGTTCTGGCTGTCTCCGCTCTCGGGTCAGAAGCTTCAAGATCAGTTGCTCTCATGACAAGGAAGGCTCTTGCCCCTCCATTATGCTTTAACTGCCTCCGGATTGAGGCAGAGCTCACACAAATGTAGAAAAAGTCGGCGTCTGTGCTATCCACACACAGCTTTTTCTCAAGCTTCCTGTTGCCTCCCGCAGTATGTGACATTCGGAGAAGGGCACAGCTGTTTGGACTGGCTTTGGGTGCTCTCAGTGACACGGGGGACAGAGGACACACTGGCTCACTCCTCTGTCTTCTCCTGTCTTCCTCTGGTAGCCGCCTCGGAGGACGAATTCCTACAGACAGCAGCAGGGGTAACGGAGAGCTTGGCACAAGGACTGGTCTAGAAATGTGGACTGTAGTCACTGATGACCTTCGGCCAGCTCTATGTTTTGGTCTCATTTTGCTAAAGACATTGTCCAGCTTCTGTCACTCTGATAAAATATCTGAGACAATCAAATTTAAGGGAGAGACTTCATGTTTTAGAGGTCTGTGGCTGCCCAGCCTCATGGTCTTTGGGCCTACGATGAGGTAACACTTCATGGCAGGGAATGTGTGCTGGAGCGAGCTGCTTACCTCATGGCAGCCTGGAAGCAAAGACAGAGGAAGAGGAGGGGGCCAAAGTTACACAGTCTTCCTCAAGGACATGCCCCCAATGACCTAACTTCCTTCTTCCAGACTTTTCCTTCAAAGGCTCTACCACCCGATAGTGTCATGGACTGGGAACTAAGCCTCCA